TTTTTGGCGACCGCCCACCCCCTATAGCAAAAAAAAAAAAAAAAAGAAACATGAACATGCCTACATAGATGTTGCCATGTTTCCAAAGCAATACAAATTAGTGTTTTCTCAGTGTCTAAAATTTTCAGCAAGCAAATAATTATTTTGTCCATCACTCTCTTATAATAAAATAGGAAAGGATGGGGAAAAATATTCTTATCTTTCTCTGACAAAATACCAATTGTATTGCCTCAAGTTGAGGAATTGCTTTGGTAATACAATAATTACTGGGAAAACAGGTAAGAGTGGGAGTCATAGAAAGGCCTTTGCTGTAATAAAGATAAAAATCGATTTTCCCAGAAGGGAAGTCTTTGGGGAACAAACAAGAGTCTCTGTGATGATTCTGGTCTCTTTTGTGTTTCAGCCATCACGGGGGTAGTCCCTGGCACAACAGTTGCCCCTGGTGGTTCTAACACAGGTGAGTTGACAGGATGTTATGGAATATTCCAAATGTCCTCTTATAATTATAGGTCTCCTCTGATATTAGCCTCTTCAGGAGAAGCACAGTATCTTTTCCATGATCCTAAAATAGTCTCCAATTAACTCTTGTCTTTTTTATCTCTCTCAGAGGCTACAACTATTCTAGAAGGAAGTAGAACAACAAGAGTTGGAATAGTCACAGGTGAGCACTGCTAGGCTAATACCTGCACTTCCTAATTTCTCTTTCTAACAGTCTTCTGACAATATGTCTTCACAATTTACCTATGCTATATTGAGAAAATTCAGGGAAAAAAAAAGCCAAGATAGTCTTTAGATTGTCTCTTTATTACTGAGCTCCCAAGGGCCTTCAGTAGACCATCATGAAGTCAAACAGATGACAGCTAAATAGGTGATATGGAGAAAAATGTTTTTCTCTTTCAAAAAAGAACATGATAGTTGAGAACTGTCTCAGTAAAATCGCTGTAGAAAGATTGTTAGATGGGAAATACAGATGACTTTTAGCACTGCAAGTCTCAGAATAATAGTTTACTGCTGCAGAGGGAACTGAGATTCCTATTTAAATCAAGCAGTTGAACTATTGACTACCATCTCTGCCTTGTTTTAGGCACAACTGGCATAGTCTCTAGAGAAACTGTGGAACCTGGAACTTATCAAACAGGTAAATCTGAAAACATGCAAAACAGTTGGACATTGGCATGTTGGGTGACTTACTCTGACAGCAGCATAGTGTGTACTTTCTCATACCCTCATCCTTACTGATTTCTTTCTTTTTTTTCTTGCAGAGGCCACAACTTCCACAGGGAGTAGGATTACCCAAGCAGAACTTCCAGGAGGTGGGCTATTTCAATCTGAGGCTTTTAGGGGTCTTATCAAATTCCCATGGGGTGGTTACAGCAAAGATGAGTATGAAGGTTGGTTGAGAAAAGAAGCTACATTTCTTCTAGAACACAACATGCTAGAGTCATGAACTTGGACCTATGTAGGAGTTCCATGGCCTCAACTGTTCTGCTTGTCTGAATTTTTCAAGGGCAGGCTTGCAGAGCTAGTTGTTGGGTAGCAGGATGAGAGCAACCTGTTGATTATCCCCTGCCTTTCAGGGCACAATCCTTTTACTTATTTTGACTTTTTCCCAAAGCACTTGCTAACATCTAACATTGACTTATGTTCCATATTTACTGCTGGAATGTAAGCCATATTAGGGAGAGATCTTATCTTTTAACATTTCGTTCAGTGATAATTCCGAATGGATTAAAATGATATTACATGATAGAAAAGAAATGTTTAATAAATGCTAGTGGAATGATGAAATGTATTGTTTTGAAGCTTTTCACTCTGTTTACTTTAATAGGTACCACCATGGTTTTGCCTGAAGTCAGCAGCAGCTCAGAGTTCTAGGCCAGATAGGATGGAGGAAATAAAATCATCATATGAGTATTAGAGCCAAGGAGTTCTATTCTCACATCCCAATATCAAAATACCTCTAGTAATTGATGAGTAAAATTTAGAAAGATAATCCATCATTACTTTTTTCTTTTCCTTTAGGCACTTCTTTCACACCAGAAAGCCCAAGTTCTAAAGTGAAACAAGTAAGGGGGAGATAAGATCTCCTTCCACATTGAGTGGGCTCTATGAAAATGGAACCCAGCAGCAATAAGGATCAATAGTTGATCATTATTCATTGATTTTATTTCCAGGAAATAAAATGGTAGCAAGTCATGCACAGTGCATTTCTTTCCAATGCAAGGTTTATCAGAAAGTTCTTCCAGTGGTTCAAGGTCATAACTATTTCCAATACTGGTTGAGAGCTAATGTCTACTGATTTCTTTATTTTTCTCATTTTAGGTACTCCGGGAGAATCCTCCAAGACAACCATTACATTTGGAAGTTCCTACACAGGTAGATAAGTTAGCAGAAAATCTCTATATTTAACCTCATAGTTAGTAGACCTGCTCTGATGAAATATCAACATAATCCTTCTCTCAATATCCTAAATCCTCAGACCTCACCATTCATCCTTTTCCTTCCTCAGAGTCCACAACTGTAACAAAAGGCAGCAGCACAGGTGAGCAATGGACAGCCCACAGTTGAGGGTTTGGCATAAAGCATGACTCTCCATGGGGCCAGCAGATGGCATACTGGTTATGTCACTGGACTCCCACATGCCTGAACATGGTTTGAGTCCCAGACCTGATGGCTTGAAACTCATTCGATGTGTGTGTGTGTGTGTGTGTGTGTTGTATGTGTGTGTATGTGTGTGTGTGTGTATGTGTGTATGTGTGTGCTGAAGATCCCAGGAAGAGAAGAGATTACTATGTGGCCATGCCCCTTGTAGGGGGTGATTTCTCACTTTCCCTCTGTCTCTGTCTCCCGCTCTCTCTCCAGCAAGTGCACATACCCCAAGGCAAAAATCTCTAAAAAATGTATGACTCTCCAGGGGCTACCCCATTGGGAGGTGTATTTTCCTGCAGAGTAATTTACTTTCAGTGTTTTCATATGCTGATCATGTTCTGAAAAACACTGCAATACCTGCTTCTAGCCACAGCATTGTAACTTTCCAGAGATGGACTGCTGTGTAGACAGTATGAGAGCTTTCTCCTGTGATGTCATACATATTATTAAGGTGACAGAGAGAGCCAAAGAATACTATGTTTCTAGAAAGACTTCTGGAAATATCCTATATAAAGGCTTTCATCCCAAACAAAGATAGTATTTTCCCATATTTTTGACACATTTTAACATATTTCTGGTTTTCATCCCACAGTAAGCACCACTGCAACACCAGGAGGCCAAGCAAGTGGGAACGTGACAGGTGAGCCTAGGGGAAAACTAACTTGTTTTCTTATCTTAGAATGGATGGAATTTCAGAGGAGGAAGCCTCAATTTGGGAAGATTACTATGAGGATTGCCTTGTTAGTGAAATGGGTGATAGGACAGGCATATGATTCTCATCCCTTTTGGAAGCAGTAAGGGACCCTGTGATACAACAAGAGATAATGCCAGGGCACTATACAGTTTTAGTCCTTTGAGTTTCAGCCATCAATGGGGTTGCTCCTGGCACAACTGTTGCCCCTGACAGTTCTTATACAGATTAGCCTTTTTTTTTATTTTGAGGTTGAGATGAGAGGAAGATTTTTTTTTTTTTTGGAGAGACTTTTGCCATAAGAGCATGTCTGCTTGCCAAAAAGACAGAGAGACAGAGAGATAGAAAGCAAGAAATCACCTCCCAGCGGGGATGGCCATGCTGCAATTCCTTCTCCTCCATTCTCCTCTTGGGATCTTGAGCACATATACACACACACTCGGCATGAGTTTAAGCCACTGAGTTCGGGACTTGAACCACGGTCAGCTACATGGGAGTCCAGCAACATAGCCATTATGCTAACTGCTGGTCCCTCATACAGATGAGTCTTAAGGTGACAGACACTCTTCCATGGACCCATCTATGATGAGATGCCTTTTCCAGTGCTCTCCTGTGTCCTCATGGTCTGTAAAAATTTTCCAATCATCTGTATGCTGTCTCTCTCTTTCAGAGGCCACAACTTCTGTAGGAGGAAGTGAAACAACAAGAGTTGGGATAATCACAGGTGAGCTCTGCCAAGTTCTTCTAACTGTACCTTTTTTTTTTTTTGGAGAGATTTTCGCTGTAGGGTGCGTGTGCTTGCCAGACAGGCAGAGAGACATAGAGACAGAAAGCGAGAAATCACCCCCCAGGGGGGATGGTCACGCCGCAATCCCTTCTCCTCCATTCTCCTCTCGGGATCCTGGGCACACACGCACACGCGCCCGGCGTGAGTTTTAAGCCACCGGGTCCGGGACACGAACTGCGGTCGACTGCGTAGGAGTCCAGCGACATAGCCATTATGCTAACTGCTGGTTCCCAAGTTCTAACTGTACCTTTTAAGAACTCCTCAAAAGTCTTTGTTTTACATAATTTCAAATTTCCCGTATTTGTCACATTAGGCAAAAATTCAGCAGATGTTCAAATTTTGACATCCATAAATATAGTTCAGACACTTCAATATTTCTTCTTTATGTCTTGTACTCTAAAGACCCTTTATCAGGGTACCATGAGACTGTTCCTTGACAGTCACATATGTGATTTGGGCTCAATCTATCTCCCTGCAACAAACTACCCAAAAGGGACTCATTGGTGAAGACTTTTCTCTGTAAACTTGCGGAGGAAATGATATGTTTCATGAAAATATATAGCTTAATTTTTTTTTTTTTTTTAGAGGTTTTTGCTATAGGGCACATGCACTCGCCAGACAGACAGAGAGCAACAGAAAGCGAGAAATCACCCCCTGGGGGATGGCCACACCGCAATCCCTTCTCCTCTATTCTCCTCTTGGGATCTTGGGCATGCACGCACACGTGCCTGGCATGAATTTTAAGCCACTGGGTCTGGGACACGAACTGTGGTCAGCTACAAGGGAGTCCAGCGACATAGCCATTATGCTAACTGCTGGTCCCAAAATATATTGCTTAATTTTTTAAACTAGAAATTCCAATAAAATAATTTTATTGGCATAATAAAAAACCAGTTTTTCGTTTATTTTCCATTAAGAGCTTATGTCCATTTCATGATGGCGATGAACTGATCAACCTTCCACAATCCTTTTCTTATTTCAGATACTGCTGAGGGCATCTCTAGTAAAACTCGGGAACCTGTAAGTGCCCGTACAGGTCAGTAATTCTGAGTATGGCTCTTTGGGCAATATAAACAGTGGGAGCCCCAGAATGTCCTGTCCAGCCTTCATACTTTCCATTTTATTCTCTCAGAGGCCACAACTTTCCCAGGAGACAGTGGGACCGCCAGGACAGAACTGGCCAAAGGTAAGCTCTTCCATTTGAGGCTGAAGGTCTCATCGTTCCTCTGCTTGGATTGCTCCTTGAATGAATCATATAAAGAAGTTCGAGGGTGGGGCGTGTGTTTCCTCTGGGGGCTGGTTTCAAGTCAAACTGGGAAGTTACTCTACTCCTGATTCCATGATCTCAGATGTTTCAGCTAAGCTGTGTGTAATAGCCTGGCTTACAGAGACATATATTCTCTGGGAAAAGATAAAAGAGTATATTGCATATATTCCAATTCCCTAGGGCTTCCATTGTTCTTACCTAGCTTAACTTTCCCCCATGATGTATCATTTTCTACTTTGTCTTGTCAAGTTATGCATGATGTTTATGGTTTGTTTTCTATCTTTACTAGTAATCATCATGAAGGCAGCTCATTGTTAAAATGCCCAAGTATGTAAAAATGTCCACAAAGATTAAAACCATGCTTTATTCTTTCCTGTAGTTATTTCTGGCATGCCAGAGAGATATGAAACAAGTGTGTTTAAGGCCCTGAAGTTTCCTAACCTTACAGTAGCAACACATTTATCCCAGGTTGGCCTGGGAAATCAAATGCTGGAAAGTTGTTTGTTTTCTATTTTCTTCAGAAATGGAGTATCCTCAGGAAAAAAATTACTGGTGTTTTGGGGTCACACTGATGCACCCAAGATTAAAATTAGGGAGACCATGCTCTCTTGTTTCATTTACTTTTTTGCATTTTAGGTACTACTGGAGAATTTTCTGGAACAACTATTATATTTGGAAGTTCTAGTACGGGTAGGTTAACAAAGAAAAAATGCCTTTTTTTTTTTATAGAGAGAGATATTTTTGTTATAGGGCACATATAATCACTGGAAAACCAGAGACAGAGAGATAGAAAGTGAGAAATCACCCCCCACCAGGGGAGATGGCGATGCCATAATCCCTTCTCCTTTATTCTCCTCTTGGGATTTTGCACAGGCACACAGACACACACTAGGTATGAGTTTCAAGTCACTGAGTCCAGGACTCGAACAGTGGTTGGCCATGTGGGAGGCCAGCCATTGCTCCATCTTCAGGTCCCAGAAATGCTTCTTAATTTCAGATACCACGATATCTTTTTTAGAATTGTTATGATAAAATAACACCCCAGTTTCTATTCCCAGTTTTCCAAGTCCCTAAAAATGATCATTCTCCTCTTTCATCCCTCAGAGGCCATAACCTCTACAGAAGCAACTAGTACTACTGGAACTGGACTCAAAACTGGTAAGAATAAAAGAACCCATGATTTTTGGGTCATCAGGATTAGAGCTGTCTGATTTTTCTTGACAGAATTTGCATTTTATTTAACAATGCTGAAAGTATATTTAAATAAGTTTGATTAAATATTTTGGAAAATCTACTAATTCTACAATTGAGTCTAATTGTTCCAAATTTGAGAATGGAGTTTCTTCTTCTCCATTGGATTTCCCCTTCTCCAACAACAGCATTTCTACTGGAATACAGAAAGAAGTGTGTGTATGTGTGTGTGTAAAATAGAATAAATCCCCTAAAGAACTAAGACATACACATGTATATGTGGGAATCTTCAAACATTTCATGGAAAATGCATATTATGGAAGAAGTTCACATTGATTTAAATTTTTTTGTACTAAAAAGAATTTTTGTATCAAAAAGAACTTTTAATTAATTTTTCCACAAACTTTTTGAAGTACCCTCATATGTGTGTGTCTCTATGTATGTATCAATTTACTTCTTCAATATTTTCTCCTACATCTAAGGTTTTCAGCACAGTTAAACCTTTCACCTCTCATTTCTACCTCACAGCCGGCATCTCGACAACACCAGGGGACCAAGCAGGTGAGCAGGGCCTACTTTTTATAAAATTCCAGGCAGAAGTACCTCAAGTTGGGAATGTTGTCTTATTTGCTTTGTTGTGCTTTGTTGAAAGTAGGTAATACATCTAATTCATCACCTGCCATGTGCTCAGAGAAAGAGATTTCTGTTGTGGCAAATAAACACATACATACACATGCACTAAATACACCTTTATTTGACTTAATGAGTCACCATAGTAACCTCTGTTCCTGTGTGTTTTAAGCAACTCTGGGGTAGCATTGGGCACAACTGTTGGCCCTAGAAGTTCCAGTACAGGTAGGTCTATGGTTTGCCAGGGAATCATTTACCTACTTCCTACAATAACACATCTTTCCTTTTAGTGCTTCTATGCAGAAGAATTACTCTTCTATTCCAGAATCTTTTCCATTTTTATCTTTTCTCTCTTAACACCTTCAGTATTCCCCGTAGAAGATGGAGTGACTGGGGATGCCAAAACTACCATTCCAGGGAGCCAGCTCTCTAGCAGTCAAACAGGTAGGGTACGAGAAAATTTTAATGTTTTCCTCATATTGAGGAATATCTAGAATAAAGAGACTCTAAGAGAAGAGCTTATTAGCCTTTGTATTATTCCTTCTTTATTTTTTTTTGGAAAAAAAAAAAAAGTACTTTGGAAACGCATATAAGGAACCCTGGAATGAACCTTCACTGACTCAAAATAAAAAGAGTTTACTGTTTTTCTTCTTAGTCCTTCTTTTAATGTAAATAAAATGTTCCTTTTTCTTTGTAATTCCAGTGACCAGTGGGAGAGTCTCTGGCAAAACTGTTGAACCTGGGAGTTCTGTCACCGGTAAGTCAATATTTTCAAAGGGAGATCCCTTGTTGAAACTCAAGCAGGAATATGTATCTTCAAACATACTTTCCACTTTCCTCAATTTCTCTTCCAGAGGACAAAGCTTTCTTAGAAATCAGTGAGACCGAGGAGTCCCGGATGTTAGCACTGTTGTTGAATACACTTCATGTCTCTAGATGTGAAAGATTGTTGTACAGAAAGGGCAGGTTTTCCAGCTCATACCTGAGGCCACGCCTCTCAGTTGGATTCTACACCAGTCTTTTTCAATGCCTGGCCTTGTGGTGTACATTTCCAGAAAGAGTAAAAGTTGCAGTAATTTTCTGGATGATTAACCCATAGGAGTGTTTTTACGTAAACTATTTCCACACCTATCTTTGTTGTAATACTATCATGTCAGGTAAAGTTACCAGTAACCTATTACTTTTCAATCCAGGTAAATAGTGATGACCAAAATAAATGTGAGGTATTTTAGGGGTCTTATTTTTTTGTGTGTACCAAATAAAAATGATCAAGGAGAGGAATATTTTATCTTTCTATTAAGAAGCATGGGAACATAAAATAGCCTAGAATATTTAGAATATTATAATAATCCAGAATGCTTGTGTAATACAACCCAGATATTAGAAGAGCATTGAAAGAAATTATGCTGGGAGATGTTTCTGGAGCTTTAAGAAGATGTTTCTGGAGCTTTAAAGTTTTGAAAGAAATATTGTGAGATGAAGAAAACAGTGAGAAAATCTATTAATTATGTATTCTATAATGAGAATATTATTACATATTATAATGTAAAAATTTTAAAATTGATTCCTTTTGAAATGAGAATCAACTGCAAAGTTTTTAATAGGTTGATTACCATGTCCAGATTGGATTTCTTTTAGAGATTAATTAGTCATAAGGTATGGGATTGAAATGAAGGTGAGTGAGAGAACAGGGTGGAGGTGGGTTATCTCATTTGAAGTCTGATGGAAGTGAGAGATGATTAGGAACTGAAATAAGACAGGCATATGGGACAGCAGGGAGCAGGAGTGTGCACTGTGTGGGCAAGTTAGAACCAACTAATGTGGTGGAAGATGAAAGAGAGAAGTTTGAAAGGGTCCCAGTTCATGGAAAGTTTGGTGCTTGGGTGAGTGGATGAAGATATTATTCAATAAATTGGAAAATATATTAGAGAAATTAAAAAGTGATAATTGATAGAAGATATAGTGAGATCAGATTGTACAGTTTGAGTTTGAAATGCACGAAGTTTTCCAGTTTGTGATGCCCACCAGAATTGATGAGGGTGTCTAGAGTCCAGGAGAGATGCCTGTACTGAACATAGAGATATGTCAATCATTTGTTTACAAATGATAATTGAAACAGTGGGTGCTGATGAGTTTATTTAGGATAATCACAGTGATAGTGAGAAGATATAGTTCCTTGGGCTCTCCAGTTTCTAAAGAGGATGGAAAGGCAAAAAAGACTGCAATGGGGAGTGGTTTTATTCAACAATTGTCAATTTGTTTGACTTAGAGTAACTCAGGTATTGGAACACCGGGATAAACCATACTGTACCAGAAGATCATACAGACTCTAATTTGAGGATTCAGAATCTCAGATAAATGGGATCAACCAGAACTTATTAGAAACATTTTCATTTAATAAGATTCATTCTCCAGAATATCTAACCTATAGTTATGAAACCTTGAAAGAAGAGGGAATCAGTCCTGAGAGAATTAATTAAAATATAGCCACACATCACCTAATGATACTTTGGTCAACAATGAACAGCATACATGGTGGTGGTCCCATAAGAAGTACATATCTTATACCATCTAACTTATTTCTGCAATAGATGTAGATGGGTATATCATCTAGGTTTGAAGATATATTCTATGATGTTCACACAGTGATGAAATTGCCTAATGAGGCATTTCTCAGAACACATCCCCATCATTAGACAACAGATGACATATTAAAAGTCTTAATTTTTTTCATCTTTAGGAGTAACTAACATAATTCCAGGGAGTGAACCTACTGAAAGTGAAACAGGTGAGTATGAGGGACTGAAAAAAGTGAGACTAGAGAAGGCACCCTATCTCCATGATCCTAACCCTGGAAAAGAAAGATCCCAGAAAATTGAAGTTTATGAGAAAAAAAATATAACAAAACAGGAAAACCACATTTATTTAATCTCTTTGGACAAGAAATCCAGGGGCAAGAAATACATTATTACAGAGAAATTCATGGATTTGTCCTTAACCATGATCAACAATCAATAAGAAGGACATTACTCACATCGCCTCTCTCTCTCTTCTCTCTCCCACCCCAGGTCCTACCAAGACAGTCTCTGAGATTACAGCTTCACCTGGAATTTCTGGAACAGGTAAGTGAAGCAATAAAAAAACTTTAAGATTTTTTTTTCCTTCAGGGGAAAGATCATACACTGTGCATCACTTTCATAACTGTAACTCTCCATCTTAATTTACTTCTCACAGAGCCCACAACTTTTAAAGAAGGTGTTGGATCCACCAAAGCAGGAATTTCACCAGGTGAGTTTTACCAGATTTTTGATTCTCAATTTTTCTATTTGAATTCACTACATAGAGATTATGAGTGGAAGTAAACGTCATAGAAAAGTGGTCTCTTTTTCTTTAATAGCAGACCATGAAGACAGACTACATTATCTCCCCAATTTGTTCTAGAGAACATATTATATATGTAATTCTCTTTAGACACATTTTTCTGTAGTCCCTTTGTTTTGTCAGACAGTACTCTAAGATCAGTGAGAGTCACTAGCAGTCAAGAAGGTAAGTAAACATCACTACAATAAATACAAAGTAAATTTGCTAATTAAGGCTTCAATTAAGATGCCTAGCCTTTGATCAAAAGTTTAGACACAATTTATTTTCTCTGGTTTTCTGCCCCTAGAGAACCAAGGAGTCAAGTCATTGGAAGAAAATTATGTGCACAAAAGAAATATATTTATTCATTTAGTAATCCGATTCTAGATAATTATAGATCTAGATCAATAACATCTATGAGGCAGGTGCCAGCAGGTGGCATAAAGGTTAAGGCTTTGGACTCCCTGGTGGCCAACTGTGGTTTGAGTCCCTGGACACAGTGGCTTGAAACTCATGCCAGGAACATGGTGTGTGTGCCTGAAATCTTGAGAGAAGAATGGAGGAGAAAGAATTGAAGTGTGGCCATCTTCCTGGGGGATATGATGTCTCACTTTCTATCTCTCGGTCTCTCTCTGTCTCCCTGGTGAATGCATGCGCCCTATACCAAAAATCTGTGAAGAAAAAAAAATATGAAGCAATTCTCCATCATTTTTTTAAACACAAAATTGTAAAAAAGTACATTGGAAAAGAAGGCCAGCCTTAACATTTGGTATAAGAAAATTTGTTAAGTTGTATTATTTGGCTTTAGAGAAACAGGACAACTCAATAATACTTTTTTCAGGGTAAAAAAGGCTTTCTGAGATGTATTCTTCCCTTTTATTACAGGAACCACTAGCCAAACAGTTATTTCGGGAAGTTCCGTCTCAGGTAGGTAAAAGTTTACCTTCCTAGTGTTTTAAACTACATATCTTAAAAAATAAATAAGTAAGATCACTTCTCTGGAATTGACCATTGTAGCATGAACACAGCAGTCTCTACCTCATTCTTTCTTAGGGATAACTGAGTGTCTGCCATTTGTCGAATTCTCATAATGACTCCTAGCCTGTGCCTCAATATTGGGAGTAACTGGGGGTAAAGGTAAAGGCCCAGGAAACAGGAAAGCACCTCATTAGAGAATTTACTTTTTCCAACTCCTAAGATTGTCTTCTCATTCTGGGTTTCTGGGACTCAAAGCAGAGCCGGAGGTAAGGTTGTGAAATCACGTGAGGTCACACAAAGTAACACCACTAAGGGAGGGAGTAGATGTTGTAATCCAACCAATATTTCTTGAGCAAGATATAAAACCAAGAGGACTCATGTGCTCTGAGAGTTCTGGTTTGGTACTTTGTTTCTGTTTTGGGTCATTCACAAAGGTGTTTTATGGGCTAGCTGAAGCATTCACCCCAAAATTTGTCTGATTAAATCAGACATATCTGATTAAGCCATTTGGGTTTGCTATTTGGTACTTTATCTTTTCACAGTGAAGCCTCTGTCCTTCCATAAAGACTGGATGATAGAGGCACTGTCTTTCTAGATAGTTTCATTTGAATGACGTAGCTACCAGGTACCTAAGAGAGAGATTCTTGAATAATAAAACTGGTAAGACACTGGGAGTTTTATATCTCAAAGGGATAGAGAAAGAATGTATCATTGCAAGCTTTCTAAAGTAAATGCTCTAAGGAAAGGGATGTCGGGATCCATAACTAGGAAGGAAACTGTCTAGTTTAGTCAAGTTATGGAGAACATTAGGCCATCTTGGTCAACACAGATATTTTTCTCATTTTTTCTCACTCCTGTATAACTTTTCTCCCTCCAAAACTAATCCAGAAGAACCAAAAAAAAAAAATCAATTTGCATGAAGTAAAATAGTTAAGTGTGAAAAAAAGCTCTTGTCATTTTGAGAAGGGGAGACCCAGAAGTAAAGATTGTACCAGGGTAATATAGAAATATTCAGGTCCCCTGTGTGAGCCAGGTGTTGCTATGACAGGGACCTCTCAATGTTTCAATGGTAGAGGTGTGAACTAGCATTTGTAGATGCATTAGTCACTCAGGTGCTTTGAGACTCTTTTTTAGATGAAGGTGTCTTAAGGGCCTGCTTTTCAGAGACCAGAAAAAGTTCATTGCTCTACCTTGCTCAATTTAGGTACCTCCAAGGAAGCATCTGAAACAACCACTGCTCCTGGAATTTCTACCACAGGTAAGTCAAATGTAATGAGTGAACTTTTCTTGGTAGCATCTCAAAAGACAGAGCAACCAAAATGAAGATTCCATAGATATAAAGAGAGGGCTGTGGTGGTTGTGAGGGGATAAATATTGGGAAGATTTTGGTCAAAGGATACAAAATTTCAATTAAGTAGGAAAAATAAGTTCAAGTGATCTGTTGTACAGCATCATGACTATATTAACAATATACTGTGTTCTTGAAAAATGCAGAGCATAATGTTCTTCACCATAAAGAATATAACAGAGAGGTAATACATAACATTAATTAGTTAAGTATAGTCATTTTTCAGTGTATATATTCTTCCAAATTTCATGTTGTATATGATAAATGCATACGGTTTTATTTAGCAATAAAAATATGATAAAAATAAGTAAGGGCCAGCCAGTAGTGTGGTGGTTAAAAGCTGCCAGATCCCACATGGCCAGCTGTGTGAGTCAAGTCCCAGACCCTGCAGCTTGAGAAGCATGCTGGGTGTGTGAGTAGAAATGCCCAAAATCCTAAAGGGAGAAATGAAGGGAAGGGACTGTGGTATTGATCATTCCTCAACAAGGGTGCTTCCTCATTTTTCTTTTCCTTCTCTCTTTGTCTCTCTTCAGTGAGTACACACATCCACTAGCAAATTAAAAACATAAAATAAGTAAAAATCATTTAAAAACTGAGGTTAACTTTAAGCAGTCCCCTGTACTCACCACTTTCGTTCCCCGCCTTAGCAGCCACTGTCTCTACAGGAGTCAAAGAAACCTGTGAAACTGGAGTATGAACAGTTGAATGCTGGCAACACATAATGAACATAGCTATTATCAAAATCCAAAATTGAAATTTGATATGTTTTGAGTCCGGACATGAAACAATGAGTGAAAAGTGACACTCTTGACATCACGTGACCATCGCAGTCAAATATTACAATTCAAAATATTGTATGAAAGTAACTTCAGGTTGTGTGTATAAGTCATATATGAAACACAAATGAATTTCATGTTTAGACTTGAGTCCTATCCTCAAGATATATATACATATATGCAGAAATTCTAAAATAATAATTAAAAATCTGATATTTGGCACGCTTCTGGCCCTAACCATTTTAGATAAAGGATAATCAACTTGTACAAACTCTTCAGTCATCACTGTAGAGTTGAATTTGGAGGTGAGCAAGAGAGAAAAACCAGGAAGATAGTGTCAAATATCCTTTTGGAATGTGATTTGTGAAGTTCAACTAGGGATATTGTTTTTCTCTAGGATTTGTGGTTTAGGCTTTCATTAGAACACTCCTCCTGAAAGCCTATTGAAGAACATTGAGATTTCTGAGGATGAGATTATGAGGTTGTCAGTTCTGAAATCTTTTCTATTTCCTTTTGCAGTTTCTACCTCACCTCCAGCTGGAAACAAAACAAGCCCACAAGAATCTCCGCCAGGTAAAAGGAGATGACCCAAATGAACTGAATCAGAGTATCTGTTCCACAGGAAGCATTTCTTGAGTATGAATCTGTACCATCACACGGACTCACATGCATATACACACAGACTTGATAAGCGTATGTTATTCCAATAAAAAAGAAATCACAATACTGTGCTATAGGGCTCCCTTAAGAGCCGTTGTAGTGGCGGTAGGGAATCAAGAAACAGAATAAAATAGGTCAGTATGGAAAAAGTCCTAGTTTCTCTGTTTCAGCTAACATTTCCTTTACGCCTTATAGTGCTAGACTATAGCAGACATTTAAAACAAAATCATGATTAAGATGTGGCATTTGTCATTTTATGATATTGTGTGTGTATATGTGTGTGTGTAGGGAGGAGAGATTATTAAGGGCCCAAATGATATCATCATACTATACTTAATGGCAATAGAGCAATATGTACAAAAATTTTGGTTGGGGTGGGGTGAGACTAGATACTGCTTATTAATTCATAGCATTGAGTAAAAGCATCAGATAGGATATAATTGAGTTTAACATTGGCTGGGGTGGAGAGAGAGTTCTTCCCCAACAGCCCTTGATAAAACAGACCTGAGATGACAGGGTGAGTTCAAGAATCAAGCAGAAAACTCTCTGAGGTTCAGGGAGAAAATCAAATGAGAAAGGTGAGTAAAGGAAAGTTCATGAAGAAACTATTTTTTTTCAAACTTAATGAAACATTATCCCTATAATAAAAAAAAATAGTATCCCTTAAGGATTTTAAACAAGAGAATGATATGACTGGATAGTTATTTTAGAGAAATTGCTTTGAGAAATTTCTCACCATTAAGAGATTGTTCTTTATGACTCTTCTTACAAATATCTGCAATGAACGCTTACAAGTCTTATCATAGAAAATTTTCTGCTGTATTTAAGCCTAATCATTTCCCTCTCCTGCTCCTTGGTTTCTGCTAATCTGCTAAGCATTCATAATTAGAAACTAGCCCAGCCTCCCTCAGTAAACAGAGACATTTGTTTTCCCAAACTCCCACATCTTTAACTCATTTCTTATCTGCTTCTCTTGTATCTATTAGTTGTTGAAATCACTTCCCTAAACATGTAGAAATTTTAAGTTCTTTTAATATATTTTCTTGCTCCTAGGGCCAGGCTTTTTCTTTGTATGTAGGATAAAACTATTAATTTGATTTTTAGAAGTTTTGAAATAAATTTATGAGTGGTTTATTGAGTTGATCAAATATGTGATGTGTGAAGGCTCAAAAAGACATATATGACCAGCTTAAAGCATTTGGTTGGGTGGAATAAAACTGAAGTATTTTGAGAAGAGAATAATAGGATAAACGTTCCTAAAGGATTAAATCTAGGGAACTTGTAAGACTTATTTTTTCTATATCCTAAAATCCTTTTACTCATTTGATTATCTACTTTATGGTCATGTTCATTACAATTGTCTTCCTAAAAAATAGAGTTTGGGGCCAGCAGGTTGCATAGTGGTTAAGGTGCTGGATTCCCAAATGGCTAATCACGGTTAGAGTCCCAGACCTGGTGGCTTGAAAATCATGGCAGGCACATATGTGTGCATGCCCAAAATCTCAGGAGGGGTGTGGAGGAGAAGGGATTGTGGCATGGCCATCCCCTCTGGTGAGTGATTTCTCACTTTCTCTGTCACTGTCTCTTTCTGGTGAGCACACGCCCCCTATGTCAAAACAAACAAAAAACTTTTAAAAAACAGCTTACATTGATGTTTTTTCCTTTCTCTTTTGATTCTCATATTTCCTTCACATTAAAATTTGAGGTTCTAAAGAAACACTCTGTATTGAGAGAATTCCAGATGCCTTCAGGAACAGAAAGGAGGCATAAATGAAAAATATCTGTTGATAAGACCAGCCATGAGGCCACTTATTTTCAGCAATAGAATAATGAATTATTTAACTTTACTTGCCCTGAAACTCTTCCAGTAATATCAGAGACTAATTGAGATTCCTGTCTTTACCCAGAATGTCTAGCATCACTTCCTCCAGCTCCAGGTAAGAACACCTTCACTTCAGAATCGTTTCATAATAATGGTCCTTCTTGTAAAGCAAGTTGCCAAGGTCCATACAAATAGAAGTCTCTGGTCACAGAAATGTTATGAAATAGGAAAACTTGAAGTGGATGAAGTTAGTTTTGATTCACCACATAAATAGCGAGTGATCATTCTTAATCTCCAACTAATGAAGCCAAGTCAAACAAATATACCTTGTTTCTTAATTCAAAGTTTACTTACTGTTCCATGTAATTATTTGATATCTTGATCAAAATATTGTCACTTAGTGAGATTTGTGAAATTAGATAATTCTTACTTTTTGAGGGCTGAATTGTGACCGTAAAAACACAGTTCAGCTTGAGTTCAATAACCTTAGATACCTTCATAGAGTTCCTACTGTTTGTTCCTCAAGCCAGTGTGATGTGATTTACAGCAAGTGGGAAAAAATGACTAAAAAAGTCCTTTCCTGACCTTACTGTAAAGTGGAAAAAGAGAGATTTTTCAAAGAAACTTAGGCACAGTTTATATAAGGCAGAAAATATATTTCATAGTAAAAAAATAAAAAGTATATATGCTACACATAGAGTGTATGTTGTGTGTTACATACACTGTGTGTATTTCCAAGGGTATTTAATTATACAATTGAACTTGAGAACAGTATGTTAACTGGACCAGGGCATATAACACGGAAAGAAAGATGAAGTTGAGAAGGTGTGTTTGTGTTCCATTATGAGAGACCTTGGATGCTAGAATAAGGCGTCCATTTTATAAGACTATATGATTATCAAAAGTTTTTAATGAAAGCAGTGATGATAGAAGAATTTAGCTTTAGGAAAATTACTTATGGTTAGAGGATTGATGGGATTAGGAAATGATGTGAGTCAGAGTGACTCCTTTAAAAAGCCAGTTAAATATGCTAGGTCAAAGATAATGAGGTCTCAGAGTATTTTTGCAGCAAATAAAACAGGGAAAAGAAGGCATTAACATGAAGGTGATGATGTTGAAGTAGGTTGGATGACAAGTGATGAAAAACAAAAGGAAAGGAATCGAAATGGCTCCTAAGTTTTAAGCTTGAAAAGTTGAAAGAATAGTTCAGTTCTTAATAGAAGGAAGCCAGCGTAGAAGACAAGCTGCTTTAGGGCAAGATGACACAGTCTGTTTTGTTCACATTCTGTCTGAGGTTCCTGCAGCTCTATCGGGATGCCACCTACTACCTAGAGGGAATATTAGGTCTATAGTACTAGGGAGGTCTGTACTGGGTTAGAAGTTTGAAAGCCATCCCTTGATGTTACAGTAGACATTGTGGAGACAGAGAAAAAATAGAGACAAAATTTAGCAAGGTGAGGAAAAAAAAATGTATTATAGGAAAGACGGGAGTCTCTGAGTGCTAAACCTAAGGAAAAAAAGAACATTTTGGAGAAGGTGAGAGAATAATGTTGCCTATTGCAGGTAATTCTAAAAACTGAGAAGGGCCACTTGGGCCTGGTAATTATGAAATTGTGTGATTTATAAGACTGTGGAGGCAGAAGTCAGCTGTAAAACTGGAAGTCAAACACTAGCCATAAGATTTATTGATCACTGCCAGGAGAAATCAAGAATTACCCTTTGCTGGGGATTGTAAAAATGGGATATATGTATACTTGCGAAGGAGCATTTGCTTGCAGTGGATAGATGTGATTTATCCACCTCAAGCCCTCATTTAATCCTCCCTATTTCTTTAACTCTGAAATCCTTGTGCCAATTATAGTATTGCCCACCTGGTGGTTATCTATAAATAACAGATGGTTATATTTTGCCAAATTTAATTACCATCTCTCATTTTATGTTAACAGTTTGTCATGGTCCACTGGGAGAAGAGAAATCTGTAAGTACACAGTTTTGCTCTACTTTAATCCAAATTTGCTCTCATCCCCGTCTTTGAACTGAAGTCTCAACTTGTTTATATCTGTAGCCTGGAGACAGATGGACTGCCAATTGCCATACGTGTACCTGTACCGAGGAAAAGACTATCGACTGTAAGCCTAAGGAATGCCCATCTCCACCCACATGCAAAACTGGAGAGAAGCTTGTGAAGTTCAAATCTAATGACAGCTGCTGTGAAACTGGATACTGTGGTTTGTATTTGTAATACACTGTTTGAGTAGAATCTGTTCAGTATTTACTACATATTTTTTGAGCTACTAACATGTGCCAAACACAATACTGGACAGGTGTGATAAAATAAAATTAAATTGATACTTGCCTTTTTAAAACTTGCCATTTTTGGAATGGGGAAACCCAGAATGAAGTTATAAATATAGATAAGTAGATTAAAGGGAAATTATGTCATCATGGAAAGAAACTTGATTAGTTGAGAAATATGGTCTCATCTATAATTTGTCTCATAAATAAAAAAGAATTATTATGTTTATTTTAGAATAAAATATTGTATTTTTTTTTCAGAACCAAGAACATGTTTATTCAATGATACCGACTATGCGGTAAGGCTTTTTCTTTATTAAAATATTTTTATTAGTGTAACTATATGAATAAATGCAATGTCGAGCCTCACCCAAATGGTCTTTCAGCTTATAATATGAAAAATAATCGTTGGTAATGATGGAGTGAAATCTGTTCATTTTTCCCCATATCCGTTTCCAAAGGAACGTCAAATGTAACACTCACCATGATTCTCTTCAAAGGGGGAATAATACTTGGTCATTAACTGCTCAGCAGTGGAGCTTCTAAACAAAATTTCCCATGGGCCTGACCAGATGGAGAAGACATACTTTGGAACATTCAAACCAATGAACAGAGTTAAACTGTAATTATGACAGAAAGATCAGATGGCCAAACTGTCAGAGATCAAATAAGGAAACCCAAAGGACTAGAACCCTATTATGTGGATATAACAACCCAGTGTATCAGGCTGAGATTTTGACAACTGACTTGGCATCTAGGACAGTAATTTAACTTTTTAGAAAAAATATCGGGAAGTCATAAATATCAGATAATTTTCAAACTGATATTAATACACTTAAACTGGTGGTACTAAATATTTAAAAAAATAAAACGTATGTCTGTGTCAGGAAATACATAAAACAACCTATGAGAGTTTCACTTTGATAATATATTTATTGCTATCAGATTTCCACTGGATTTCTTTTTGTTTGTTTGTAAGCCAGAGGGCATGTACATTTGCTAGGGAGAGACAGAGACAGAGAGAAAGGGAGGGAGAAGGAGAAAGCACCCTCCATGGGACATAGGCACACTTCAATCTTTTTTATTTGTCTATCCTTTAGGGACTTTAGGCATGTACATGTTTCTGGCACATTTCCCAAGCTACTGAGCCAGGACCTAAATAGTGTGGTCAGCCATGTGGGATCTGGCTTCCCCAATCACAAGGCTGTGGGACAGGTCCACCACTAGGTTTCTTAATTTTTAATTTCTGGAGTTGAACTCATGATTTGTGAAACTGTAAAGTTCTTCTTTTTTTTTTAGGCTTTCGCCATTGGGCACATATTGTCTCACTGGTGAGACAGAGAGACAGAAAGCAAGAAATCACCCCCTCGAGGGGGAATGGCCACTCTGTGATCCTTCCTCCTCCATTCTCCTCTCAGGATTTTGGGTACTCTGTGACATGCACCTGACTTGATTTTCAAGCTGCTGTGTCTTGGACTTGAACTGTGGTCAGCCATGTGGGAGTCCAACACCTTAACCACCGCAACACCTACTGCAAGGGTTTTTAAACACAATTATGATGCTGTTTAAAGAACAAAAGGAAAATTTTCCTCTAGCTTTTTATATGAAAAATAGTTGAAATAGTAAATTTTCAGTTTTTGAAAATTTCATCTTGTGGCTGGTCTGAAGTCTTGAAAGAAATATAGTTTCTTAAACTATTGTTTGAATGTTAAACATAAGCTAACTATAAAGTAATCTAGAGAGTTTTAAAAATATAGGAACACAAGAAAAGATACAAGTTCAAACATATTGTGGGACTGTCATTTATTCTAATCTGATAAACCCACTTTATGCCACTTTTTTCCTACTTAGATCCTTACTTTCCCTCAAATTTAGAGCATAACAGTTACTTAACTGCTTGATCACTATAAACTAATCTTTCCTGAAAAATATAATAGTATAGCTGTTGGTGTATTTTAATTGGAGGATTGAAAGTCTTGACACATTCTGTGTTTTCAACGAATAATCTTGGTTTCTTTATGGAAGTAAAAGACTTTCAAACTACCTTTTCTTAAACATTAACTTAATGGTCCCAAAAACCTCTGGAAAATCTCCACACGTAGTTAGGGAAAAAATATATATATATATATTTATTTTTTTCAGTTTGTCAACTTCAAAAAGAAATCAAGGCAAGTAATTATTTTCTTTTCTCCCCTTCCTCCCCTTCCAGATTGGAACTTCATTTAGCGACCCCAGGAATCCCTGCGTCACCTATTCCTGCAACAACACTGGCTTCACTGTAGACGTCCAAACCTGCCCGAAGCAGACCTGGTGTGCAGAAGTAAGTCTTCTTAACTAATGAACAACAGGATTCACTTTTTACATTAGACACAAACATAATCTGCCTTCTTTCTCTTTGGTAAAGTTTGCATCAAGCACACATCAATCTCTTATATTCCATAACTGTTTAAATAAATTTATTACATGCTGAGGTAGGTGATTCTAAAATGATGATGTGCAATTTTTATTGTTAAGTATTATGCTATATATTTTTTATAAATAAAAGATTTAATATTTTGTAGGTTCTATAAAACTTAATTTAGTATATACTAAAGAAGGAAGTTACTAAAGTTATTAAAAACACATGCTTTTTTGGGGGAGAAGTTTTTGCTATAGGGTGCGTGTGCTCACTAGACAGAGAGAGACAGAGAGACAGAAAATGAGAAATCACCCCCCCAGGGGGGATGGCCACGCCGCAATCCCTTCTCCTCCATTCTCCTCTCGGGATCTTAGGCATGCAAGCACTCATGGCCTACATGAGTTTAAGCCTCTGGGTCTGGGACTCGAACCGCCATTGACTACACTGGAGTCCAGCAACCTAGCCATTATGCCAACTGCTGGTTCTACAAATATATGCTATTTTTAAACAACAAAAAAACTCCTACCAACCTTTTTTCAAAGCTTATGGACTCTGTTTAATCATTGTCTGTAAAAGTACAAATTTTCCATGTAATCACATGTATGTACACTATTTAGACCTTTCTTTATACCTCAGTTTTTTTCATATACATGTCTTCCAAATATAGTGAGATTTTACATTATTTTTTAAATTATTTATTTTTATTCATTCATTCATTTTATTTTAATTTGACCAGAGAGAGACACAGGGAGAGAGTGAAAGAGGGAAAGTAAGAAAGCAAGCCACCAGGTCTAGGACTTGAACCATGGTCGGTCATGTGGGAGTGTCCAGTGCATTAACCACCATGTCACCTGCTGGTCCTGAGATTTTTACATTACTGATGCTTATGTTTAAATTATTAAGGGAGGGAGCCGGCAAGTGGCATGGTGGTTAAGGGCATTGGACTCCCACGTGACTGACCGCAGTTTGAGTCCCAGACCTGGAGGCTTGCTTTCTCTGTCTCTCTCTCTGTCCCTCTCTGGTCAAATTAAAATAAATAAATAAAGTAAATAAAGTTAAATGAAATAATTCTTTAAAAAATTATTAAGGGAGATTCAAGTCTAAATTATTGTTTATCTTTTAAAAATAACTATTTAATTTTTATTTATTATTATAATTATTATTTTTTAATTTGCAAGAAGGCATGTGCACTTACCAGAGAGAGACAGGGGGAGAGAGAGACAGAGAGACAAAGTGGGAAAGTGAGGAAACAAGCTATGCGACTCAAACCACAGTTGACCATGTGGGAATCCAGCACCTTTATCACTACTCTACCTACTAGCCCCAATTTTTATCTTTTTAAAGATAAATAATTGACAATACAGTTTATTTTATTTCACAACTCTAATATTGGTTTTCAACATGTCTTGAACTTTTACATTTTTTTAAGAGAGATTTTTGCTATAGGTTGTGTGTGCTTGCCAGAGAGACAGAGACAGAGAGACAGAAAGCAAGAAAGTACCCCCAAGGGACTGGCCATGCCACAACCCCTTCTCTATTTTCCTCCATTCTCCTCTCAAGATTTTGGGCAAGCATGCACACATGCCCAGCATGAGTGTAAGCCACCACATCAGGGATTCAAACCTTGGTCCACTATGTGGGAGTCTAGCGATGTAACCATTACACCATCTGCGGGTCTCTATTAAGCTTTTGTTTTGAGGCACTCATAAGCTTGAACCTAAAACAAAATGAAGGGTACAGATCTTACCAATGAGAAGCATCAATGTCTGGTATTATCATTGTTAAAGTATTTTTCAATAAAAATAGTGAGGAATAATTTTTAAGTTTTTTGCATATTTTATATATATATGTTTTTTTGGAGAGGTTTTTGCTATAGGGCACGTGCGCTCGCCAGAAAGACAGAGAGAGACAGAGACAGAAAGTGAGAAATCACCCCCCAGGGGGAATGGCGATGCTGCAATCCCTTCTCCTCCTCTTGGGATCTTGGGCATGCACACACACGCGCCTGGCATGAGTTTAAGCCACTAGGTCTGGGACTCGAACCGTGGACGACTACATGGGAGTCCAGCGACATAGCCATTACGCTAACTGCTGGTCCCTGCATATTACAATTTTTAAAGGTTTGTCTTACTTTTTTCTTTTTTACCCATTGTTGAAACATTTTAGTATAAATAGTCTCATTTTTATTACTAAACTCTCCTCACTCATTGCCTGCCCCAACTTACTGCAACTGAGGTTAACATGTTCATCTTCATTATTACTTCCTTTGGGATGCTATTTTAATAAATTAATAAATATTATATTATTTATTTATAAATATTTTGGAAGAATTTTCTGAGCCTTTTATTTTCTCTTGTCCGTGCAGGAAGATAGAATCTATGAATCAAACAAATGTTGCTACACATGTAAGTACCGTTAAACTCCATGTATAGAAGAAATACAGACTGTTGGCAAAACTGTAGCTTTTTTTTTATATAATGTATTTTTTTTGCCAGAGGTTGGTGTGCTTGCCAAAGTGGGGAGGGGAGAGTGAGAAAATGCACCCCCAAAGGGAATAGTCATGTCGTAATCTGTTTTCCTTCCTATTGCTCTCCTTTGAGGATTTTAGGCATGCATGAGCATGCACCTGGTGTTTTTCAATCTGCCTAGTGGGGACTCCAATGCACAGTTGAATGTATGGAATCCAGCCATCTCTTAACCACTATGAGTTTGTCCTGTAGTGTTTCTTTTCTCTCTTCTCTCTTCTCTCTTCTCTCCTCTTCTCTCCTCTTCTCTCCTCTTCTCTCCTCTTCTCTCCTCTTCTCTCCTCTTCTCTCCTCTTCTCTTCTCTTCTCTTCTCTTCTCTTCTCTTCTCTTCTTTTCTTTTCTTTTCTTTTCTTTTCTTTTCTTTTCTTTTTCTTTTCCTTTATTTCCTTTCCTTTTTCCTTTCCTTTCCTTTCCTTTCCTTTCCTTTCCTTTCCTTTCCTTTTCTTTTTTTCATTTCTTTTTTCCTCTTCTTTTCTTTTATCGAGTTTTTGCCTTAGGGTTCATGTGCTCTCCAGAGGGAGAGAGACAGAGACAGTGAGAGTGAAAGTAAAAATCACCCCTTGGCCATGCTACAATCCCTTCTCCTCCACTCTCCTCCTGGGATCTTGGACATGCATGTACACATGCCAGGTGTGACTTTTAAGACACTGGGTCTGGGATTCGAACCGTGGTCAGCCATGTAAAAGTCCATGACATAACTGCTATACCATTTGCTGCCCCCCCCCCGTAGTGTTTCTTTATAAACAAAGCCATGTAAAAGTCCATGACATAACTGCTATGCCATTTGCCCCCCCCCCCGTAGTGTTTCTTTATAAACAAATGACAGAGAATTATTATAGAGCCTCCTGTGGTTTTATTGTTGAATTTTTCTTTTTTCAAGGTTTGGCCATAGGTTTCCTGTGCTACGCAGATAGAAAGACAGACAGATACACAGAAAGAGAAAGGGAGAAATCACTTAAGTCCATGACATAACTGCTATGCCATTTGCCCCCCCCCCCGTAGTGTTTCTTTATAAACAAATGACAGAGAATTATTATAGAGCCTCCTGTGGTTTTATTGTTGAATTTTTCTTTTTTCAAGGTTTGGCCATAGGTTTCCTGTGCTACGCAGATAGAAAGACAGACAGATACACAGAAAGAGAAAGGGAGAAATCACTTCCCAGGTCCAAGACTCAGTCAGCCATGTGAGAGTCCAGCACCTTAACCACCATGTCACCTGCTGGCCCCACCTTCTATGCTTTTAACACAACAGAGAATATAACATACATATGTAAACTAACAATTGATATTTTTACATAATATATTATGTTATATATTCACATAGTTTTCAGTTCTTCCTTGTAGAAAAACATTTATGTTTACAAAAGAAAAATCTAATTTTCATGCAAAAATATTAATTTATTCTCTTTATATCTGCACCTTGTTTTGTAAATTGGTGCGTTTTATTTTAAAAATGATCAACAGTGAGAAAATAGACTAAAAATAATCTCTCTCCCTCCTCCCATCCTCCCTTGTTCTCTTTTCCTGCTGCTGCTTTGTCAGCACCTTCATCCTAGTAGTGAGAGTCGCAATGAGGGAACATCTCTCTGAGTCTTAACCGGGTACCTTGGAGCTGGGTGTTGAGACAGTTAATCCTCTGGATAGCATTGTGAAATTGTTGCTACTCCCATTTTCTATGGTTAAGAAAACTGAGGCTCAGCAGTTCTTAATGTTAAATCTCACTTCTCTCCGTTACCCACTTCATTTTAGGTAAGAAGGATTGCCGAATTTCATCAGTGAATGTGACTGTTAATCTCAATGACTGCAAGAAAAAAGTCATGATGGCAAAATGCACAGGCGAATGCCAAAAGACCGTCAAGTGAGTTTTTCTTTGAATGTATTATAGGGTATTAACTTTGCAGCATTGTGGAGGAGTTCAGCTTTTAAAATATGACAGGGAGAAATTTTTACATAGGAGAAATATTGTTTTATGCTCAATATCAAATGAAACAAATATCTAATATATTCACATCTGAGAATGAAAATACAGATTTTCAGGTACTCCTTTGAAGCTGTTTTCTAAATGTGTTTAATACATTTGTGGCAAATGTGTCCATTTTCATGCATTGACTACAGAGTTCTTAAGTAAGGAAGTACATTTTTTGAATTCCTTTTAAACTTGAATTTTTGACATAGTATATATATTTTTATTTATGTGTACTTTTTTGTAAGGTTAATTTATAGAGAAGAATAATTTGTTATTAAATTATATATTTAAAATCTGTTTTGTTTACTTTTTGCAGCATAGTACTCTAATTAGGAGATGCTAAATCTTCCTTTTGGGCTGCTTTTCTTTTGGTCTAACTGATCACTTACCACATATTTATAATAATAAGAGGAATGCAAGAGCTAGGAAAAGAAAAAAATGGTTGAAAGTTTTGCTAAGTCACTTTGACACTGTTAGAATTTGAGAATTTATGTCAATATATTTCAAAAGACATTACAATAATATTTACTATTGAATTTTCTTTTCTTTTAGATACAATTATGAATTGCTTCAGTTGGAAAATATATGTCATTGTTGCAGAGAAGAAAACTATGAGTTCAGAGAAATTGTCCTTAACTGTCCTGACGGGAGCACACTGCCTTACAAATACAGGCACGTAACTACCTGCTCTTGTTCAGATGAGTGCCATCAATCTGCGACCTCGGCAACCCGCTAATGCTAACATTACCTTTCCAATTGTAACAGGCCATGTATTTATAAGTAGGCAAATGTAATCTTCAAATAGTGTGAACAGCAAAGTGTTTGTATCTTTTTCAAAAAGTGAATTTTCATTATAAGGTGATCTGTTTTCTTGTCGACTGGACCTGAAAAATAAATACAACTTTGCAAGCAATTAGTCTTCATATCTATTTATTTCATGGCAATAAGAATTCTGCAAGTTGGGGCTGGCAGGCAGTATGGTGGTTAAGGGACTGGAGTCCCACATGGCTGACCTGACCATGGTTTGAATACCAGACCTGGCAGCTTGCTTTCTTACTTTCTCACTCTCTGGTGAGTGCTGGTATCAAATTTAAAAAATAGTAATAATGATGATGATGATAAATTAAAAAAATAATTCTTAAAAAAAAAAAAGAATTCTCCAAGTCAAGGGGAAAGTGAGTTCAATCCTTACTCTTGAAAATATGTTTACCCTTCATCTCCTGAGGGCTTTATCTATTTCCTTTCTTTCACTAATTATTAAAAATGTAGTCTTTGGGCTGGCAGATGGTGTGGTGTTTAAGGTGCTGGACTCCCACATGGCTAACTGCAGTTCAAGTTCTGGACTTATGGCTTACTTTCTCACTTTTCCTCTCTCTCTGGTCAAATGTAAATAATAATAATAATTATAAATAAATGAATAAATATTTTTAAAATTAAACAAAAGGAAAATGTAGTCTTCATTCTCTTTTCTCCAGGCCAGCTGTATCATACTATTATTTTTCTACAATTCTCTCTGCTAGACCATTGACCTCTTTATGTTACTGTCTATATGGTCTGGCATCATTTCCACTCTTCCTTTCTTGAAACCTTTCCTTTCTTAGTGCTTCTGTGATGATATGTTAAATTAGTACTCTTAATACATTGTTATAGACAGCTTTACTTCTGTTCTTCCTTAGTCAATTAAATTTCAATTTTCCAATGGCATCCTGCTCCTTCTTCTCATTTTACTCAAGTTCCTTGGTCAATTGCCTCAACACAAGTAGACGTATTTATGCACTGAGGATTTTCAGTCTATATCACCAACCCCATCCTCTTTGAAGTCTGGACATATTCATAGCACTTTGAACTTAGCCGCCATTGGATATTCTTTAGGGACCTCGACAAGAACAAAACCAAGCTAGATATCATTCTCCCCAATGCTCTCTTCTGCTTGTATTGTGTGTACCAATGAATAGTTACCTAAAAGGAGAAAGTGAAGTTGATTAACATTAAATCAGTAATTGGTACGTTTTTCCACATGGTTATTTCACACATATATTCCTCTTCTTGTACATATATATATATATATATATATACAAATGTGCCTTATATAAGGTTTACATGTATAAAACATGTGCAGCTATCAGCTCTTACCCTTTTTCCAACATGAAGACAAACCAGATTTATCATAACTCCTTTGTGTAACACTTCATTTATGTACTGCTTATTTATGACTTGGACTAATAATAAACTTAACCATCTTCAAACATGGGTGATGTGCAAATTGCAAGGAAGAATACTTGATATGTTAGTATATTGGTACCTTCCACCGAAAAGCAGGTAGTAATGCCATACAGACAGATATAGATCTCAGATGGCAAAAATATGAGGGTTTAATCCCTTAAAATTCAAATGGCTAAGCTTATAGGAGTTTTCAGTTCCTTTCACTTCAGGGAATGGTAGAACATAAAGAAAGCCCTACACTTGCACTTCGGCCTTTACCAAGTCGTAGCAACTCTATTTTCCCTTGATAGTCAGAATTAGTCATTCCAGATAATATAATGACAGCCTTGTCTTATAAGAAAGGTCGCGGAAACCAGCAGTTAGCGTAATGGCTATGTCGCTGGACTCCCACGTAGTCGACTGCGGTTCACTTCCCAGACCCAGTGGCTTAAAACTCACGCCGGGTGTGTGTGCGTGCGTGCCCAAGATCCCGAGAGGAGAATGGAGGAGAAGGGATTGCAGTGTGACCATCCCCCTGGGGGGTGATTTCTCGCTTTCTGTCTCTACGTCTCTCTCTGTCTGTTTGGTGAGCGCACGTGCCCTATAGCGAAAATCTCTCCAAAAAAAAAGAAAGGTTGCATTAGAGGTAGGAAAATACTAATGATGAGCTGTAAGTTTCATAACATGAGAGATTATGTAAGTGTTCATTTCTGGTCCAGCTAATATTAGGGAATCTTTTTAAAGATTGTGAAAAATGTGTATTTTGAAAAAAAGCTATACATTGATTACATTTCCTGCACAAAGAAAACTCGTTTTAATTCCATTTTCCATGAAATTTCTGAGGTCTTATATATATTATATCTTAATATCAGCATATGAACTTCAGAAAGTAGAATCCCTCAGCTGGTATCTTAGTGTGGAGGACTCAGTAGGTCAGTTTTTCGGGTCTACCATCCTTAAATAGCAAGACATGGTAGATTCATTGATGCTATACGGACCTGTTGGTTTTCTCTTCTTCATTGAGAAATTAATTTCTTGATTGGGAGCAGTGCTATGCAGCATTTCATGGCAGTAAATATTTAATAAACCTATAGATAGCAGTGCTTGCTGAGGCATACTGCACACACACACAAAAGGCAAATCATTAATTGGTTATCTCAGAGAAAACAAATACTGTCCTTTCCCCACCAGAAAAGATTCAAAAGTTTTCATTTCTACCAGGTGGTTGTTTGGCATTACATGGCATGCCCAACTGGAAGCTCCCTCTATTGTTTGTGTACTGGTATCTAAAGTGGCTTCAGTGGGTTCAGGCTGAATTCCTATTGCATGATACCCCACATTTATAAATGAAGATTGTGAAACCAAAAAGAAGTATTTAGCCATTTGAAACTGTCCTGAAGTGTTTGTAAGATAGACATTTGAGTTTCCTTTTGTATATCAACAAGCTGTTGATGGAGAGAGACTTTTAAATATGAAATTTGGGAACTGAGATGGGCAGAAAAGGCTCCTAAAAGGTGTTTTTTTTTTATAGTTTGCCAAGGGTGAATGAAGACTATCATTATCAGGTAGTGTAACACACACCTGATGTTCCCAATCATATCGTAGTGTTAGGCAAATTACTGGGACATCTTAAAGATCTCCTAGCCATTGTATGGCTGATTCCAGTGCTTGAAGTGAAGAAAATATTCCTTTGTCAATAGTAGTTTGTTCAGCCATTTGTTGGGTGAGGTTTGTTATGACCTTTTCAACAGCATCAGCAATATGAATATTAGTGGTTAAGGAAACTGATGCTATCGTGGCTGTGGCTAGAACAACAATGGCAGAGAAAAGGAGGGCAATAAGAGTAAAAAGAAATCTTTTGGGGCATGGGAGGCTAAGATCTGACTCTAGCATTTGTGCAGTGAGTGACTCAGCCCAGGATCTGGTTAAATTAACTGGAACCCAGATCTGTGCTTGTCTTCATAGGGGAATGATGGAGATGTGAAATTGGTAACATTAGAATATGAAAGACGGGAGGTACACCATCCTTTGGGCATGGAAATTTTATAATATGAATTGAGTTCAGTAATATTAGTTATTTCTGATTTGATCAGGAAAACATAAGGAAGACAAGTGCAAACCATGACAGAATCTGAAACATTAATAAGGTCGGTGGTATGAAAGGAATGATTAAGATGATAATATCCATGAGAGATAATTCATTGACAGAATGGCAAGGTCATGCACCAAAGTTGGGAATGAAAGGGCTCTTTTGGGTAAAGCCAGTAAGTTGTATGACAGGCCAGACAGACTGTACTTAAACCATGAAATGGCCAAATTGGTGGCGCCTCCAAAGGGAAGATATTCTCTCCCAGCAATAAAGTTTCCAGGAGGTCTCTAATAATGAAGAGTTCCACTGGTGAAAAGTGAAGTTGTCTGAGGGAACTCCTGAGTGCAAGGTTGCCATTCAATATTATAAAATTGGAATTTCCAATTAGGTGCGAGTCCACATTTCTTTAAGGGATGAGACTGTATATTTATATTTTATGGGGTAGATACATTAACTGTGACCCCTGAGATGAAAGTTAAATTGACTAAATGATCAAGGATTTTGGACTGATAATAAAAATATTTCTGTGGGATAACCCAAGGACATCTATAAACAGAGTGTTTGGTCCATAAAACAGATTGGTGGGTTAGGGGAAGCAAGATCAAAGAATAATAGAATATATTTTCTAAAAGAGGGCCAGCTGATGGAAGACAAACACCTCCAGTTCAGGTGTTTCATTAGAGGAGAGAGGAAGGTCAGCATCCCACCAAACAAGTGGTCTGAAAAGGGGAGAATTAGTGATCTGTGCCCAGTAATGGGTGGCCCGAATAAAGGAAAGACAAAGAACAGCATACAAACATAAATAAAACTTACTACCTTTTGACTATTTTGAGAAATAACACTGAGTTGGGCAAGAAACCAATTTTCTGATTAGGCACTCCGACATTTTGAAGAATGGTTACTGCTTGGTCTAGTTTTTCCAATTGGCCCCAGGTGATTCCCAGGGCTTGTAGAGTGCTGGGTAGCAGTGTTGGATTATCCAGGCTGAGATTCTGGAGTTGAGGCTGAATATGGGTCCATGATGAAATGTGATCCCTTTCCATGGTATCCACTGGATTCCTGTAAGTAAAGAGACACATGCAGACCCTCTGGCTTGTGTTATTAAGGGGAAAGGGCCTTTCCATTGTGAGTTTGTTCCCATCCTCGGATAAAATAAGGGAGGCCAGATCGATGTTTGAATAACTGCCAATGTCTTTGATAGGCTGCTGTATTTTTTCCATCAAGATTTAAAAAATTAATAGTATACAAAGCTCTGTAAAGCCTATCTCATAGGGATTCCCCTGAGGTGGAGGGACTCCCCCCCTCCTTTTTTTAAGGTAAGCCTTAATAGTGAGGTAAGTACATTCTTTTTTTTTTTTTTTTTTTGGAGAGATTTTCACTGTAGGGCGCATGCGCTCGCCAGACAGAGACATAGAGACAGAAAGCGAGAAATCACCCCCCAGGGGGGATGGTCATGCCGCAATCCCTTCTCCTCCATTCTCCTCTCAGGATCTTGGGCACGCACGCACACGTGCCCGGTGTGAGTTTTAAGCCACCGGGTCCGGGACACGAACCACAGTCGACTACGTGGGAGTCCAGCGACATAGCCATTACGCTAACTGCTGGTTCCCGAGG